AGACGAAGAAAATGATGCGACAGGCGGGAATAAAAGCCCATCCGTGGATTGACTCGAGAGAGTTGATGATCCAACCACAAACAAGCATTCCCAAGGCCGAGCCAGCAGTTCCAATCAAGGAATACCAAGCAAAGACATCACTCAGAAGCTCATGTGGTGTGAGATGAGCCAAAGTGGATTCTTCGACAGCGCGGAACGGGCCAATTTCATTTCCACTAATAAAATTAGCTTCGATAAAAATAGAAACAAAAAAGAAATACGGATACGAACCTCGGACTAATGACACCAAATACTGCAGCCGCCAGTAAAATCCAAAAATTTCCGAACAGCGCGAAAATGACACCGCTGCAAGCCATAAGGATTGATCCGAGTGACAACACCGCCTTGCGACCCATAGAATCAGCGAAAAAAGTGAGGAAGAAGCTAATTACCACATCTCCGACCAGCGTGAGAGTCATAAATAAGCCAATGCGATCGTCTGAAATCCCTATGGCCGACAGATACGATGCCAGAATCAGGGTCGAGCCGCCGTACGCGAAAAGGCGCACGAAGCGCTGCGCGCAGAGAAGCTTCACGTCGAGCGACGACCGCCACATGGTGGTTAGGCCCAGCTCCTCGAGAACGTGGGCCATGTAACGCGCTGGTCGCGATTGATTCTCCATTATCAGATTATCAGATGGGTTGAAGAAAGAAACAAATCCACAGGTAGGCCAATCACCTTTTAACTCCGACCTCGGACTCGGGCTTCGGGCCGGAGCTAAGCTTTTTGGGAGAAATGAAGAACTATATTATTCATACATCTCTTTTGGGATAAACATAGAAAGTAGAAAAAACATTATTATGTACAAATATTCTCAGTGTTCACTCCTCAATTACTGCTCGGTCTTGGGAGGCCATTTCACTCGTCGTTCCGCACGCACATACAAGTTGGTAGGACGAATCAACTGGAACATGGGATCATACTCGACCGGCCCATCGTTCTCTTTCGTGAACTTGTACCGGTACAACAACTTGGGCAAGAACACTTTGACTTCCTGCAAGGCAAAGCTGAACCCAATACACATACGCGGTCCAGCTGCGAAGGGAATATACGCAGTCTTATGACGGTTCTTGACTTCCGCCGTATCCCAACGATCCGGATCAAATCGTGCTGGGTTAGACCAGACCGCTGGGTTGTTGTGTATGTGGTGAAGGGCAGGAATGATGATAGAATCTTCGGGGAGCTTATATCCACCTGGAAGAATCATATCGACCTTGGCAGTACGCGCAGGCTGGTATGAGGGGTTATGACGGCGCTGGGTTTCTTTGATGAACTTGTCCAAGAATGTCAGACGGTCCGTCAGATCTGCGGTCATTGGTGTATCGGCATCGATGTCGTTATCGATTAATTCCTGTAGGAGTCTCTCCTGCATGCCGGGGTAATTGACCAGCGAATAAAGCAACCACGACAGCAATGAGCTGGTAGTCGTGAAGCCAGCGCCGGTGGCTACTACTAGTGCCTCCATCAAACTTGTCTTAGGCAATTTCTCGCCCTTGTTGTCAGTGGCGCGAATAATATAATCTGTCTAGATATTAGCTTAAGCTTTCCAACTTCTAGTCATTTCACTTACCGATCATGTTAGAGGCCTGCAATGCAGCATCCTGCAACGGAAGATCCTCGACGCCATTCTGAGAAGCATTTTGAATTGACTCATTGACCATCTCAATAATACGATGGCGCGCATCCCGTAGGCGTTGCGGGTCACCGAAAGGCAATTTCGCATACCAATCACCACGAGCGGTCACCTTCTTGTTCAGCTCCAATGACTCTGCAATTCGGTAGACCAGCTCATGTGGCGGCGCATCTACAGCAGAGAAATGCTTGAAGTCCATACCGAGAACCAACTTGCCCACGGCCTGCGCACCGAGCTTAAGCATGTACGGGTAGACGTTCCAAGCCTCGCCGCGCTCGTCTAGCTCGTCGAACACATTAAATGCATCCTCAACGGTTTCCTGCATAGTCGGTGCGTAGTGACGCACTGCTTTCGGTCCCAGCGCTGGCGGGAGGAATTTGTGTGCTGCCCGCCATTCGGGTGTATCAGTGTCACCTAAAAACACACCGGCCTGTTGGTTCTTGATCGGGTGCAAAGGGTGTGCCTCGTTGATTCTCTTGGTAAAAAAATCAGACTCGGAGAAAACGATGGCCGATAGCTCGGGGTCATTGGTGTGGTAGACCGTCCGGCCCATGTTGGTGGTTTGAATGATGGGTCCATATTGGTCAAAGAGGCGCTGGTGGTTTCCTAGGTGATCGGGGTAGACCTCGAAGTAGTTTCCCACGAATGGCAGTCCCTTAGGACCGGGGATCTCCCGTACTGCCTTGCCATCTATTGAGATAGCAATAGGCTCTTCGTTGGCAAGGATCTCCGAGGGAGTGGACAACATCGAGTCCTCTGACTGGAATGCAATGCCTGACATGAGAGTTAGAATAATACCAAAGGCAATAAGATAAGAACATACCATTTGGCTCAACAATGGCAAATTGTCCAGCAATGAGAAGCTGAAGCCCTTGGTAGTCGACTGTTGTCTCTACCTCAATTGGGCGAGCTGAGGTGATAGCCTCACCCAGCAGGTAGAAATGTTTGGCAACCATCGTGAAATGGGAATAAAAATAATAACGTGGTTTTCCTCTCTCGAAGGGCCCGCTCACATTTATAAGGATCTAATTATCTGAGCCATTTGAAACTACATAATTAACTCCACTTACCATAAAAACGCGTCCCGATTCTTTTTCATTTCATAATAGAAGAATGCATATCTCTGCGAGCCTCGGTTCAAACTCTTTCTTAATTAGGATCCACAATAACATCATGATTGCAAAAATATTAGAGTGGACGTTGTTTCGGGCTGTGGCCGACGGCACTGGCGCGAAATGTGCCGTCTCAGACGGCCCCACCGACAAGATAGAGCTTTTTTTAATTTAATTTTTTCTTCAAGGTGCCGAGGCATTTTGAATCCCTGCTTGCTGGTAGGCTAGTTTTATGTACATATCGGAAGTGCTAAGTGGGCTATTGCGACAATTCCATGTTCCAGTACGGAGTACTTTTCGTGATATTAAATTAAGACTCCGTCCTTTTGAATTTTTTGCAAAATCATTCATTCACAATGTCCGTTCCAGAAACAAAAGAGCTGAAGGCTGAGTGGAAGGCAGATGTCGAGGTGCCAGAGTATACATTGAAAGATGTGGCAGCACACAACACCAAGGGTGATACCTGGATGGTCATCCACGGACAAGGTAATAACCTTTTTTAAAAAACCAAAAAACGGACAGTGCTAACATTGCAACAGTCTTTGACCTCACAAAGTATCTGCAAGATCACCCAGGTGGTGCAGATGCTCTCATCGAGGTAGCCGGCACTGATGCCACAGCAGCCTATGAGGATGTTGGGCATTCTGAAGACGCCCGTGAGATCATGCAGCCATTCCTGGTAGGCACTTTGAAGGATGCTCAGCAGTACGTCAAGCCCAAGGCAGTGCGTGTTGTCTCCCAAAAAGCACCTGCAGAGGCCAGTCCCTCCTCATCATCGACTATCAAAACGATCGCTTGTGCTCTAGGTGGACTAGTCCCAGTCTTCTACATCTTCACCCAAAACAACAATGTCACAAACAGCCTGGGAGCCATCTCCCAACTGATCCCTCAACAACTGAAGAACCTACGCCTGCCCCATGGAGGCTTTGTCAACGGCTTCTTAGCCGCTTCTGCTATCTCCACAGTCGTTGGAGTAATGGTAGCGCGCCAGGCTAGCAGATTCACCAAGATCGACTCTGGATTCATGCGCTTCCCCCCTCATATGAAGTCCAAGAAGGTGATTCGCGTCGATCCGCATCTGACACGCGGATTCCTCGAGCCGCAGCAATTTCAACGCTTGCCACTCGTTGAAAAGACCGAACTTGCAACGAACGTCTACCGTTTCGTCTTTGCTCTACCAACCGCCACAGATGTGTTAGGTCTACCCATTGGCCAACACGTCGCCATCAGAGCCGTTGTCGATGGAACGACCGTCACTCGCTCATACACCCCTACCTCCAACAACCTCGACCGGGGCCGCATTGAACTCGTCATCAAATGCTATCCCGACGGTCTATTGAGCGGGAAATATCTCGCCGGCTTGACCGTAGGCGATGAAGTCGAATTCCGCGGTCCTAAAGGCTCGATGCGTTACACAAAGGGTCTTTGTCGCAAAATCGGTATGGTGGCCGGCGGCACAGGTATCACACCCATGTACCAGCTTATCCGGGCAATCTGCGAGAACGACACCGACACGACGGAAGTCAGTCTGATCTACGCGAACCGCAGCGAGTCTGACATTCTCTTGCGTGAGGAGCTTGAACGCTTCGCGCGTCAGTACCCGAAGAACTTCAAGCTGTGGTATATGCTGGATTCTGCGCCCGAGGGCTGGACCTATGGATCGGGATACGTGGACCAGGCTGTTCTGGCGGAGCAGCTCCCTGCGCCATCGGCAGACACTAAGGTCATGCTATGTGGGCCGCCCGGGATGGTTAATGCCACTAAGAAGAATTTGGTTGCGTTAGGCTTTTCCAAGCCAGGGGTGGTCGGGAAGATGACTGATCAAATATTCTGTTTCTAGAAAGTTGCCTAATTTAGTAATAGCCGAGGCTTTGAATGAAGGATGAAGTTAGGTTTCTTAATTTTGTTGAATTGATGGGACGGCTTGTCCGGTCATGTTGCCGAATGCGTTTTCGTGTCCGACAAGAAAGAAAGTCTCCGAGACACCCCCGAAAGAGACTCCACTCGCCGTGCTGATTCCCGAGACTTTGACTGGTTGGAGCTTATCTGTTTGGATCCAGGGGGTTATGCCCGTAAGTTGCAAGTTGTATGGTGTACGGAGTACTCCGTATAATGGTATAAATTAATGTACATAAACACTATGCCAGACTAAATGGGAAATGGACATGGATAGATATAGCCTGTCTCCCCCAAACACTCCATATTGACCCTCCCATCAATTCATATCCTCAATCTTTGAAGATTTGCGTCTTCTTCGACGCCTGTGAGATCTCCGACGCTTCTTCCTTGGTTTCGGTTTCTCCCGCGATCGAATCATGAAGCGAACCGGTTGTCCTAATCTCCCTTCTCTTGTCTGGAGCTTAGTCCTCAAGTTCATTTCCGTTGTTATCCTCACAATAGGAGAGATGTACGACTTGTCAACCTTCGACCGCGAGTATCGACGAAAATATCGCGGAAGATCCGATGATATGGTAACAGTCTTCTTTTCCCTTGCCGGTTTCTCATCAGCAGGAACAGGATCAGAATCAGGAGGCGTTGTAGGATCTTTCGCATCGACTGGAACTTTGCGCGACCGTTGAGTCAATGCCCGCGACTGCACATGACATAGATAAAGATAGTATAAGAGCAGTATCAAAACCACAGCACCGAGGATAGACCCCGCTATTGCGCCTTTGTTTCCATCTGATAGTCCGCTGCTTGCGCCCGAATTGGTTTGCTCAGGTGTAGAAGTTTCTGCTATGTTGACCACGTGGATGACAGTCGTAAATGGAGTCGTCGCTGTCCATGTAACCAAGCTCGTTGGCCACGACCTGGTATTCCCCAAGGTAAGGACTGCCACGAATGTGCTGTCGGCCTCAATCAGGGTCCGGGTAACCTCGCGAATCGCAGGTGCCATTGCCCGACAACAAATTGAACAGGCATGATGGACTTAAGTGTCTATGGCAGCTTCACTTCTTTCGCGCCACTAACACGTAGGGTATGCACGAGCGGATTGAACGGGTCTTCTAATTTATGTGATAAAGCAATTGAATTGGTGACACTGGTATCTTCTGACTTAGTTATGCAGCTTACGCTGCGGAGTCACAGGAATATCACGGCGATTGGTGGAATTGACTGCAAGTCGCACTGTGAGGCCAACTCACTGCATTTTGGTGCGGGGATTCTAACGAGCACGTTATTAAAACGAACGCCTGTGTGGGTTTTTCTTCCGCAAATACTACCAGGGGTCTCATGTTGCCTGATCTTTTTGCTAAGGCGCCGAACACCCATGAGTATTCGTTGGACAGACATGCAGCATCCTCTCCAATAAATTTCCTGCCCGAAGCAGAACGATCACAGGTGTATGGTCGCCTCGCCCGCACGGATGAACCCACTCGATACTCGATAAAGAGTCCTCGGCTCTTCCACTTTCAGAGTGAACCAATAGTATTGAACATATGTGATATATAATCTCTATATATTTACAGCTTCGCACGCGGGGGAGCAAAGTTCGACCCAGCACCCTGACTAATCGCCTCAACGATAGCATCAACGCTATTCAAAATCCAAGTATTCCCCTCATCACTAGCCAACCACCGCGCAGCCTCTTCCCCCTCAACATCATTCACCCACGAACCATCCTCGATCGCCTTCCGTAACCCAAACACATGCGATATGACCTGAGGACCAACGCCCGACTGAGCACGCAGACACGAAATAGCAACAATAGACGTCAGAATGCGCCCAGCAGAGGCGCCAGTGCTACGCTCCGGATCAGATAACAGGGCACCGTAGTTGCTGTGCAGGATGTGCACCGGTAGGTCCGGGTGTGAGTCGGCCAATTTATTGAATAGCTTCTTATCGAATGGACGATAGATAGAATCCCAGAGTGCCTGGCCGCGCTCACTGATCGCGGTGATGTTCTCCGGGGTTGGGGCGCGGGTGGGGACGCGGGAGAGCTGGCTGCCGACTGAATCTGGGAGGTTGGCTCTGAAGGCGTTGAGGCAGTTTATGGTGCGTGGAATACCGTTGAAACTAATGCATTTCAGACCGACTTCGCGCATGAGCTCGGCGGTCTCAACTTGTTTGTCCGGGTTAGTGCTGGCTAGTTCGTAGAGGGCGGCGAGGGACTCCGGGGAGTTCATAGTCATTGTTGCTGCAGTCTGGCATTTGTGTTAGATCGCGTTCAGTCTTAACCTCAGGTATTGACTCACTGAAAGTGCGATCCATGATGGCTGCGAGATCTGTTTGGATTGCGCAGTCTGTTGGATCTTTTGGTAGACCGAGGTTATGTTTGCTGGCGCCGGGACGGTGGATGGCCGGGCGGCAGGGGCATTGATCAATGCCTTGAGGCTGGTTGAAAGTCTAGACATGTCGGATGGTGAGCTCTTTTGCCCTGGTTGTGGATGTTTTTCCATTAAAGAATAGGTACTGGAGACCAATTCTCCTTCCGACCTCGGGAAGTGGAAACAAACGGAGCTCAGAAGTGAACACCGAAAAATACCAGGAGGGGTCGTAATATGACAGTAATTCTTCCTGAATATTTCCGTAATATTACCAGTGGAGAACACGTCGAAATCCGGGGATCGCGGGGAAACTAAGCTGCCGGACGTGATCTCATGGAAGCTCTGCCATTGGTGAAATGGGGGCTGGAGGAGAGGGCTCGGAAGCTCGGACCCAGAAGTGCCAGCCGAAGGAGGTGCTCTCTGACCGTTTGTGGGCTATTTCTTTCCATTCCTTTCCTCTTTTCTCACCATCCTGAGCTACAACAGATAGTCTAGGAGAATAAAATCTTTCGCGCGTCACCAAGCAACAATCCAAGTCATCATGGACCCACCCAAGTCAAGAGTGTCAGAGCTCGAAGATGCAAAATTATCGCCCCTTGATCGACATGGTGATCTCACGCAACAGCAGAAATTGACACGGAATGTGTTGTGGAAGCTGGATATACAGTCAGTCCAGGCATTACAATCAGAATTCGCTTGCTAATAGTTTCTAGTATTCTTCCTATTCTAGCGCTACTTTTCCTCATGTCGTTTTTGGACAGAACCAATGTCGGTAACGCGAAGATTCTCGGTTTAGAAGCGGACCTTTCTATCACAGACCACCAATACGACATCGGCTTAGCTGTGTTCTATCTCACCTACATTTGCAGGTGTGTTGTCTTCAATTGGACCCCAACACCAGAGGCTAATTGATATGGAAGCGAGCTACCGAGTAATCTGGTGCTCAAGAAAGCATCGCCGAAGATTTGGTTGCCGTTCTTGACGGCGATTTGGGGCATTATTACCATGTGTCTGGGATTTGTACAGAATTTTGCTGGTTTCGTCGCCGTCCGGGCTTTGTTAGGTATTGCAGAGGGGGGTCTTCTCCCTGGCATGGTATGTTTCCGACGCCGTACGGAATTGACATTGGTCATTGCTAACAAAGCAAAAAGGTCTTGTACTTGTCTTCTTTCTATAGACGAGGCGATTTGGCTCTACGGATTGGTTTGTTCTACACAGCTGCCTCCCTGTCGGGCGCATTTGGAGGTACATACGCATCGATTTCGTTTATTTTTCGGCAGATGCTAATAAATTAGGTCTTCTCGCTCGTGGACTGGCTGAAATTGGGCCTCGAGGGGGCATAGAAGGTTGGCGCTGGATTTTGATTATCGAGGGACTTTTGGTATGTGAAGGTGATTATTGATACAAAAAATTTGTCTAATTGCGAATTAGACATTTGTCTGTGGAGTGTTTAGTTTCTTCGTCCTTCCGAATAGCTTGGAGTCCGCATCTTTTTTGACTTCAGAGGAAAAGGAATTCGGAGGGAAAAGGCTGATGCTTGATAGCCCCAGATCCCAAGAAGGGTAAGCTTCTCTGACCCACTGCATGATAAAGCTTGGCTAACACAAACAGTTCCTTGACACCTGAGGCAGAATCGTTCAAATGGTCCGAAGTACGTCGAGGTGTCCTGGATCTACAAGTGTGGCTCTCTGCTTCGGCATATTTTGCCATTCTCTCTGGACTCTACTCTTTTGGCTTGTTTGTAAGGTTCTCCTATTTCTATGTCTATCTCAAAGTCACTGACAATTTTAAGCTGCCAACGATCATCAAAAACCTCGGCTTCGCCAAAGATGCCAACGAGGTTCAGTTGTGGTCTGTGATACCTTATGCTGTCGCAGCTGTACTTACAGGTTTGTCTAATTTTTTTGACTAGTTTTATTAAATACTCACCCATTTTCTAGTCGTCGTTGCCATAATCTCCGACCGTCTTCGTCTCCGAGGCGTGGTGATGCTCTTCACTCTCCCAATCGCTATCATTGGATATGCGGCCATTGCCAATATTGACTCCCCTCGTGTTCAATATGGCATGACCTTCCTTATGGCCACCGGTCAATACGCCAGTGTACCGTGCATCCTGGTGTGGTTATCGAACAACTCTGCGGGACATTACAAAAGAGCCACTACATCAGCGCTGCAGTTGGCAATTGCAAATGCGGGAGGATTTGTTTCGAGTAAGCCGTCCACATTGAGTTTATTTCTTTATACAGATCTCTAATATCAGTACTATAGCTTTCAACTATCCATCTCGAGATGGCCCCCTCTTCCACCGTGGACATACCATTATCCTTGGGTTGTTAGTGTTCGCATGGTTTATGTGGGTACATTGCTTATTATTGGTTCAAGAGCTACTGCTAATTTACTTAGGATTCTGCTTAACGTGCTCTACTGCGCAAAGATCAACCGAGACAAGAGGAAGGGTAAGTATGATCAATACGCGGGGTACAACGATGATCGTAACCCGGAGTTTATGATGGTTCTATGAGTGATGACAATGATACATATCTAGTAGAGGTAATTTACGTTCTCTATAAATCTACTGGTTGCGGTTTCTGGATTAGTTCATTATTTTGAATTCGACGTATTATTCTGCACAAATCGTGTTATACCCACCACTGCCACCAGTGGCGAGGCTTCCAGTCCTGCTTAGTTGCACCACGTAAATCATCTGTATTTAGCATATCCACACCCTCGTGCACAAGTACATTCCAAACATGATTCCGTAATCCAACCGGCCAAGTAGGAGTTCCCCAATACCGTACCTTCAGTCCCAACTCATGAGCTGTATGTATCTGACTCCGAAGAATAGCGAGCTGAGCATCCGACAGACGGCCAAGATAGAGAGGCCCAATAGCCTTTCGGAAATCTGTTGATGCATAATAGCTGTTGGATGGGTTATAGGTGGAATCCATTGGTCTGTTGTAACCCGCCGTTATATCCGCGGGAAATGTCAGGTTGCCAAGAGGTGCATCGTAAAAGACGTCGCGGTAGGTTGAGTTCTCGACGATCATATGAAAAGGCGCATCTCCGCTAGCGACGACAGTAATTGGGCCATATACAACATCAGAGCCATTGAAGTGAGTCAGGTAGCCCTTTTCACGCAACGGGTTCAGCTGTTCGAGAAGAAGAGGCCAGGTCCGATCACTCTCGGTCTTGCAATCAATCAGCAAGGTCAGGGTCTGTTTTGGGTCATAGGAAAATAACCCGACTATTTCCTGACTCATAACTTCCGGCCAGTTGCGAGAAGGAGATGCATTGTGTGTGTCGAGCATCTTCAGTAGCGGGTCAATGTAGAGGCTCTGTAGTGTTCCCCGGAGGACTGTGGAACGTGAATGGCCCACTAGGATATCACTCCCCCATGGCCAGACGTCAACCTCAACACCGGTACATCCCGCATGAAGTGCTGAGCGTAGGGGAATGTGACGCCAGTAGTCGTTGTGTGAGTTGCATGGTACGGGGATGACGCCGTGGTTAGACCAGCTGGGATGCCTCGAGTGTCGTTCGCTAGGGAAAATATCCAAGGCGGGGTCATGTTGAAAGAGATAAAGGAAGCATTGCCACGCAACAGTGAGGATGCCACTAAAGTGAGACATTG